CACCATCACCATCACCATCACCATCATCATCATCATCATCATCATCATCATCATCATCATCATCACGATCATCATCTTCCTGGCCCTCCTCCGCATCCGCCCTCCTCCTCGTCGTCAATCCGTCTCTGATCCTCCTCCTCCCGCTCATTCGCATCCTGCTTTGTAATAGTGCTGCCGCTCCTCCTCCTCCTCCTCCTCCTTCTCCTCCTCCCCCTCTTCCTCCTCCTCTTCGTCTCTCTCCTCCTCCTCACCGTCCTCTTCTAACTCCGCCTCATCCTCCTCCACCGTCTCTTCCTCTTCCTCCTCGTCCTCCTCCAACGCCTTTCCTCCTCCGCCTCCTCCTCGTCCTCATCCTTGTCATCCTCATAATCCTCATCCTCGCCGACAGCATGGTCACCAGCATCAGCAGCATCATCATCATCATCATCATCATCATCATCATCATCATCATCATCATCATCATCATCAGCATCACCATCATCATCATCAGCAGCATCATCAGCATCACCCTCATCATCCTCATCAACAACATCACCATCATCATCAGCAGCATCAGCATACCCATCACCGTCATCAGCATCACCAGCACCAGCACCAGCACCATCACCATCAGCATCATCACCATCACCATCGCCATCATCACCATCAGCAGCATCATCATCATAATCATAACCAGCATCATCATCACCATCATCATCATCGTCATCATCATACTCGTAATCATCAGCATCATCGGCAGCATCGTCGGCATCGTTAGTATCGCCATCGTCATCATCATCGTGACCATCATCAAAATCCTCATCAACATCATCAGTATTGTCATCGCCATCAGCATCAACAGCATCATCGTCAGCATCATCATCAGCGTCATCACCATCAGCATCATCATCAGCATCAGCATCAGCATGAGCAGCATCAGCATTAGCATCTGCATCATATCACAACCATCAACATAATCGTCATCGTCATCATCATCACCATCATCGTCACCATCATCATCACCAGCATCAGCATCATGATGATAAGAAAGTTACATCAATAATAACCATACGAAAATCAAGATCGATAATGATGATAATACGAATTGGCATCATCTTCATCATCAGCAGCATCAGCAACGTCAGCATCATCAGCAGCATCATCGTCATCGTCATCACCAGCATCATCATCATCATCATCATCATCATCATCATCGTCATCAGCATCAGCATCATCATCATCACAATCACCCGCAGCAGCAGCAACGTAGTCAGTAGAAGCACCAGCATCAGCAATATCATCATGATCATCAACATCGTCATCATCATCATCATCAGCATCAGCAGCATCAACAGGACACTCATCGTCACCAGCATCATCGTCGTCATCATCATCGTCGTCGTCATTATCAGCATCATCATCATCATCATCATCATCATCATCATCGTCATCATCATCATCATCATCATCATCATCATCATCACCAATATCATCATCATCATCATCACCATCGTCGTAACGATGCCGTTGCCACCATCATCACCAGCAACATCATCGTCATGATCAGAATTATTATTCCACTCCTCCTGCTCCGTCCCTACTCGTGATCGTTATCCTCCCCCCTCCACTCATACTCTTATTTAGCATGCTCTCACTCCTCTTGCCCCTCATCATTCTTCCCAGTGTCCGCCCCTCCCTCTCATCCTCATCCTATCCTCTCACCCGTTTCCTCCTCCTCCTCCTCCTCTCCTCCTCCTCCCTCCTCCTCCTCCTCCTCCTCCTCCTCCTCCTCCCCCTCCTCCTCTCCTCCTCCTCCTCCTCCTCCTCCTCCTCCTCCTCCTCCTCCTCCTCCTCCTCCTCCTCCCCTCCCCTCCCCCTCCTCCTCCTCCTCCTCCTCCTCCCCCCTCCCCCCTCCTCCTCCTCCTCCCCCCCTCCCCCCTCCTCCTCCTCCCCCTCCTCCTCCTCCTCCTCCTCCTCCTCCGCCTCCTCCCTCCGCCTGACAGCTCGCATGTGGAGCGGGGCCTCCGGCGCGCCGTGCGGCGAGGAGCGCGTGCTGGCCGCAGAGCTCGTCGCGCCCTGCGCGCCCGGTCCACTGTGGAACCGTGGACGCTCGTGGATGCGGGGCTCGCGCGTGTCTGGGACGGGGAGTCCCTCATCGCCCTCCACCTCGGTCTCCACTGGGGGACCCACCTCGGCCAGGCCCCCTTCGTCCTCCCCTCCTCCCCAGCCTCAGGGAGAGCGAGGGCAAGGACGGGGAGTCCCTCCAACTCGGTCTCCACCTCCTCCCCGTCCCGAGGCGGCGGAAGCCGATGCGAGAATCGAGCACCCTCCTTCGTGATCAGCGGGCGTCAGCCGAATCAAACCCGGCCAGACGGCTTTTGGGTGGTGGCTGGGGCGTGTCCCCCGACAGGCGGATTTCCGACGAAAAATGGAACATACCCCAGAACATACTCCCGGATGGTCAAAACAACACTCACGATATCCCAGTGCGACCCTACCTAGGAGTTGGAGCCCCTAGGAAAGCAGCATTAGTAGTAACAGTAAAGCTAAGCTAAAGCTAAGCTAAAGTTAAGGTACAGCTAAGCTAAAGCCAAGCTAAAGCTAAGCTAAAGCTAAGGTACAGTTAAGCTAAAGCTAAGATAAAGCTAAGCTAGAGCTAAGCTAACGCTAAGCCAAAGCTAAGGTAAAGCGAAGCTAAAGCTACGCTGAAGCTAAGGTAACGCCAAGCTAAAGCTACGCTAAAGCTAAGGTACAGCTAAGCTACAGCTAAGCTAAACTTAAGCTAAAGTTAAGGTCAGTCTAAGCTACATCTAAGCTAACAGTAAGCTAAACTTAAGCTACAGCTAAGCTAAATCTAAGCTAAAGCTAAGCTAAAGCTAAAGCTAAGCTAAAGCTAAGCTAAAGCTAAGCAAAAGCCAAAGCTAAAGCTAAAGCTAAAGCTCCCAGGGGACTGGGGGGACCGCTCCCAGGGGACCGGGGGAACCGCCCGGGGCGCGTTGCACTGCCCGGCCCTTTAAGCAAAGCGAGTAAGAACCCTTCTAGGCAGAGCCTAGGTAGGGAAAAACAGTCCCCAGACTATCTGTTTATTATTTTTGAAGGGTCCCCCTGTAGAGGGACAGGCCCGACTGACGTCTGGGCGCGAGGTGCAGGCGTCGACGGGTCAGCACCCACCGTGAATGCCAGGCGGTCCTGCAGGAGGGCGCCGAGGCCTGCTCCTCTTCCTCGGCAGCGGGCGCGCGGGGGCGCGAAGCGCTGGCGTCGACGGGCCAGCGGCCACCGTGGCCGCCAGACGGTCCTGCAGGAGGGCGCCGAGGCCTGCTCCTCCTCGGCAGCGGGCGCGCGGGGACGCCCTCGCCGGCGGGGCGGCAGTGCGAGCGCAGCTCTCCGACCACGTCGTGCGGCCGCTCTGGGAGCTGGAATCGCGGGCCGCGCTCGTGCAGAGGCGGCTGGGCGCCCTTCACGCTCTGAGCAGGGGCCGACCGTCCCGGCATTCCTGTAGGCCTACCACGAGATGTTCTTGGAACCCAAGAAATGCTCTAAGAACAAAAGCGAGGTTCTTAGAACAAAACGCCGACGTGCTAAAACGGGACCGCCCCAGCCAGACACGCTCCAAGAACGGCTCGCGGAAACCACCAGAGGCTCTTAGAACAGTGCTTGGTAGGCCTATATCGGGGATGGACAGACCCCCCTTTAGTAAAACGTGGTTTAGTGAAAACGACCTGAGGCCCAAACCTGGCGGGCGCAAGCCTGGAAAATGACGGCCACGGCGCCTTCTCGATAACCGAAAACGGACAATTGACTAATCGACGTGTCACTGTTTTGGGTTCTGTCGACCCCCGACTATAGGCACGCCAGGACGCTTCGCCACTGCCTGAACGTCGGATGCTGCCCAGCGGGGCCCGCAGCGCGAGCCGGCCGACTTGCCGCAGCGCCGCCGTTCGGCTCGGGCGGAGGAGGAGGAGGAGGAGGAGGAGGAGGAGGAGGAGGAGGAGGAGGAGGAGGAGGAGGGGGAGGAGGGGGAGGAGGAGGGGGAGGAGGGGGGAGGGAGGAGGAGGAGGAGGAGGAGGAGGAGGGGGGGGAGGAGGAGGAGGAGGAGGAGGAGGAGGAAGAGGCCTGGTCGGCCCGCCTCGGCCGCGCACGGGCACGGGCGGTGTCTCCGCCCAGTGCGCGCACGTCGGCCCGACCGGGATGGAGCGTTCCTGCTGCGGCGCCGCGTGCGGGCGGCAGCCCCGCCAGCGCACGTTCGCCTGGCTCGGAGCAGCGGAGGATTGCAAAAAAACCGAAGGATTGCAAAAAAACCCTTCGGAGGATTGCAAAAAAAACCCGAAGGATTGCAAAAAAACCCTTCGGTTTGCAAAACAAACGAAGGGTTTTTTTGCAATCCTTCGGTTTTTTTGCAATCCTTCGTTCCCGCGGGCCAGAGCGCTCGCACCCCGCGCGGCTGGGCCACGCTGCGTGCCGTGAGGTTGGGCCTGGGCGCGGGCTGTGGCGCGGCCGCCGCCTCCCAGCTCCGCGCCCTGCGAGGACCCTGCCGACACCAGCTCGGCAGCGAAGGGGGCGCG